TAATAAATATGTAACTTCAATTTTTCTTTTTGATAGTTTTTTTATTTTTCAATTTAGTCCCTCACTTTTTTATAATTTCCTTATTTTTAAAATTCATTCTTTATTCTAAGTCCGTTTTTACCAAATTTGAACCATATGCTCATAGAATACCTATGTAACTTCAATTTCTCTTTTTGGCAATAATTTTTTTATTTTTCAATTTAGTCTCTCAATTTTTCATAATTTCCTTATTTCTTCAATTCATCCTTTATTTTAAGTTTTTTTTTTACCAAATTTGAACATATGCTCATATACCACAATAGAATACATATATAACTTCAATTCCTCTTTTTGATAATAATTTTTTTATTTTTCAATTTAGTCCCTCATTTTTTCATAATTTCCTTACTTCTTGAATTCATCCTTTATTTTAAGTATTTTTTTTACCAAATTTAAACCACATGCTCATATACCACAATAAAATATATTATGTAACTTCAATTTCTACTCTTTTACTAAAATGTACTCTCTTTTTTTATTAAGTCTCTTAACTTTGCATTTTACTCAATGTTGTCTTTTGACTACAATTCCTTTATACTCTCATCAATATTTTACTTTCAAAATACTTTCTTAAAAATATAATATTATGAATATATTTTATAATTTTTTTATTGTATTTATATATTAAATAATATTATAATGTGAAAAGAATATAATATATATATATATATAGTTAGTTAGTTAGTTAGAAAAAGTCGAAAGATTGAAACAAATACTTGACATAATACTATAAATAATTATAATAAAATTAGTATAACTTGACTCGAATAACTCGATTCGAATTTATTAAACTCGACTCGACTCAAGAAAATTTCAAGTTAAGTTTGAATTGTAAAATACGACTCGTCAACTCGAATAACTCGAATTTTTTTAACTCGAATCTACTCGATCGAATGCTCACCCTAGGACATGTTGATTATTTTATTGGTTTTAATGATAACTTGAATGATTATTATTCACATATTTTAGATGGCTTGGCTCGGTGAATTTCTTATTTCTATCCAAATTGTGAAATCTTTTTCATTTAGTGCTAATGACGAAGACATTAGTCAATTTAGCATGAACCAACAGAGTAGTAATGTCGGCTTAGTGTTTTTGAATGATATTTTGTCATGAATTTTTACATACTGCTTACTGTTTTTTTGTTTGATAAGATATTGCTTGTGTTATATTGAGCATGTGTGTACATTATACCGTAATATGACTGCTGGATGGTTTCCTTTCATTTAAGGTGCAAGGAATGCACTCGAAAGTATCGGCATTGAGCAAGGCTTGCATATGGCGCGAGGCTTCGGCATTATAAATGAAGAATGGTGCAGAGCTTTTTGGAAAGGCAATATGGTTACAGTCGCTCACCGTCTTCCCTATTCTTCAGTCAATTTCTACGCCTATGAACGGTACAAAAGTGTATGTTCTCACCTTTTCTAACCATCTCTTTGTTTTTAACTTACCAAAAGTTTTATATTCATTCACCGTTGTGACGTTGTTTGTTTTATTTTCAGAGGTTGCAATCTACTCTTGGTCTGGAGAATCGAAGGGGACACGTCCGTGCTGACCCCTTTGTGCTCTTCGTTGGCGGTGGGTTGCCTATGTCCCAAGGCCCGGTGGGCAAATATATATTACTAAAGTGGTACAAATTAGTGAGAAGCTAATTCTGAGCTCTGCATGACTTTGTTTTTCTTCGCTGACATTTTGCAGCGACATTTGCCATTGATCTTGTGAGGAGGCGAATGCAATTGCAAGGGGCTGCCGGGCGAGCCTGCGTTCATGAAACTGGGTTGCTTGCTACTTTTCAGCATATAATCCAGTCTGAAGGCCTTTGTGGCTTGTACAGAGGGGTTCTGCCCGAGTACTACAAGGTGGTTCATGGTGTAGGCATCGTCTTTATGACCTACGAGACATTGCAGATGTTTCTATCAAGCGTTCGAACCGATTATTGGCTTCATCTTGAACTCCCGTTTCTTCCGTGAACATCGTTTCTGTAACACTCTAGTCACTAAGTTCTCCAGATGATAAGAAAACCTGAAAGAACAGGGTAGAATCTAACAGCAGCCAAGCTATGATAGAAGGCTGTAGGTAAATTTTGCCGTTGTTGCCATGGATATACCTTTTTTCTAATCCAGTATCTAGTTCCAATACACTTAGGCCATAACATTCAGACACAATTGTCAATTTGTTCATGATCATGTCATCATCACAGTTTTGTATGTTACTCTATTCCTATTATGTAGCTCTTGGAGATTAAATAAAATTGTGTAAATGATTTGAGTTTGAACGAACATAGTTATATTCGTGTTCATTTGATTATTTTCGGATATGTTCCGTTCATGTTTGTTTAAATTTTCAATATTGTGTTTATTTATTTATTTTTAAAGGTGTTCGTTCGTTTAGCGTTTACGAACATGTTCTTTTAATATTTGCCAACATATTCGTTTAATGTTTGGCAACTAACACACTTCTTTTATCCTTTTATTTGCAACCCAAATAAAAAATGATGAAACTACGCCACTAATCCTTAAATTACTTGGGTTTCACATTTTGAACTCCAAAGTTCACCTAATGTTCAATTTAGACCATATCTTCACTATTATTTGAAATGCAAAAAATCAAAAGAAAAAAGAGAACTGAGTAAACGAGCTAATAAATGAGTTCATAACCAAACTTACAAATGAGCTTATTCGTGAACATAAACGAACCGAACACGATTTTGTTTGTGTTCGTTCGTTTATTAAATGAACATAAAAAATTTCATACTCATTTATTTAACTTAATAAACAAATGTTATACGAACAATTCATCGAACATTCTGTTCATTTCCACCTCTATTTACAACTTACAAAAAATGTGAAACTGTCATTTCTCTTGAATACTACTTTAAAATTTCTCAACAATAGAAGGTATTGGTTTGATTCTATTTTGCTGGTGCTTGATTGGAGGGTCTGGCATGAACAAGGAGGACCACTAGATGTCATACACAGTGACATCACATTGCAGCAAGTGTTGGGTGAAGTTGTAAGCATAAGATGCATGCGGGTGGAAAGCAACCATGGAATTTATTCTCAGGTTTGTAGATGCTTAGCACCTTTCGGCATATTTGCAGAGAGAGGAAAAAAAGAAAGGCTTCTATCTACCACTGTGCTTTCTAATAGATAGAAGCCTTCTTGTTCCATAGTGATATGTTCTGGGAAAGGATTGTTTTTTAACAAGTAGGCAGGGAAGATATCTAGTCATGATGAAAAAGCAGTCAAGATCACGATACCATCGTTGTCTAAGGTAAGTATGGCTATCATTGGTTTGGGAAGAACAGAATCGACGTTGATTCCCGTTGGAGAACCTTGTCTCTTTATTCTTTACCTGTTTTAGTCCCCAATTTATGGACTAATTAATCTTGTTGGCTTTGGGAGCCACTATATATCTGTGTTTTCATGCATGAGGGCCTCAACCCCTTGTGTTTTCCCTTAACTTCCTTAGTTCTTGCTTCAACAAATGATTTTCTATGCAGGTTCCATATCCGTGAGGACCGGGTAATCTGCATCCTGAGGTCCAGATCGACATGCTTGTCGACTTGTTGCATCTGGTCCTTGGGTTGCAGATTACCTCTTCCTCACTGGCAATACAAAAACTTAGTCACAACAAAGATGATTGCAAGGGAGTCTACTTATGTTGCTTATTTGCCCCGTTCTAAGGTGATTCATGCATCAATTGTGCCGATATTTCTCCTAGGAGCTCATTCTTGAGCTGCATGTAACACCAGTGGCGTTGAGAATGATGTATTTCGCCAGAAGAGTTCTTAGGAATAGGATTTCTCTTTCTTTTGAACATCAGCGGATCTGGTGTTGGTCTGCCATACAGGGGAGCCATCGATATCGGTCAAGACAAAGGCACAGCCTTCTCGCCGCAGAGAAACTCTGGAGCCTTTGGCATTGACGGGTTTGTCATAATTCGCCATCGAAACAACTGTTTTCTCCTTGAGAGTTTGTAAACCAAATTGAGCAGCAGTAAGCATGTTCACCACCAAGATAAAAGCCACAAGTGAAAGTGTTGTCCACTGAAGTTAATAGGTCTGATCATGATGTTTGAAGGAAAGTTGCAAGCCTCTCTGCAATACCACTTATGGACATGAAAGAATCGTTCACAAAGGTGACTGTGAGAACATACTGCAAACGTAAACATTCCGTTAATCCAATAACGGTGGTTAAAGGTCGCATGACCAATTTGTCATAAATAGATAACATTAGTGATTAAATTGTTACTTTTGAAACATTAGTGAGAAAAAGAGAAATTTACTCAAACATTGGTGACCCTTTAAGTAGTTTACCCAATTATTTCTTTTAATTTTTTCGGATAGCCTGGATGATTACAAAATAATATATATTCAAAACTTTCTTAACTAATTGACAAACACATATACACCCCGAAGACACATCTATTATTTATCTTTCACTAATAGTAATGGCAGAAATGAGAGAGTATTACTACATATTCAAATAGGATATAATTATTATCGAATATTTGAAGTAATTGATACGAGATTGTTTTAATTTAATTAAAATTTAAATCTTAAAATCTTAAAAATACAACAATAATAAATATTTAATGAAAAATGTTACTACATGTTTAAACCATTTAATAAATAGACAGAATACTCACGGTTGATTAAAATCATTGTCTTTTCAGATAATGAAACATGGTGATTGTCATATATATGGTTTGCAGTTCAAAGCAAACAAACCGAAACCATGAATCCTTGCGAGCACCAAAAGCTGGAACAGGGTTCGCAGGTAAGCACCGAAATGCCAAATTAATAGTGATCATACACAAGGGCTTTGTATAGCAAAGAATGAAAGAAATTAATAGGGCCTAGGTTCGGATCAAATGTTCATCCGGTTTTTATATATCCGAACCCGACGGCAGGGAGCAAATAAACAGGGGATGGGAATTAATGCATCAAAATAAAATCATTCGCAGCAAACGAACATTCTTTCCTAAGGCACGAGGTTTTATACCATCTTAGCAATAAATTCACACTTAATGAACTACAACAGGTAACCAAGAATCAAGTATATCTAAAAGACATTACCAGCTGACCTTGACCAACACAACTATAAGATAGCTAATTGCCCCTGTAAATTCTGCACTTACTTTTTTCTTCTCAAAGGAGAGCTCTTTGAGTAAAAACATTCAGCAACGGAGTGAAGACAGAAATGGTCTGATTTAACAAAAGAGGCACTGACAATTTACACATTGTCTGATATTGCAAAGATTAGTGATCATCAACAGCAGCAGCCAAGCAACCTTATAATAACAAGATCTTCGAGTTTCATATCATCAGAGCCTTCATTGCCTGAAACCAAACACAGCAGTAACAGTGAGAATCATGAAATAACACATGACCAAATCGCGTAACAGGAGGCAGACAAAATATAAAAGAATGTGCAACAATGAAGGTAAAGGTTGAAATTATAAGCTGCAAGAGGAAGTAGCAGATTTCAGAAATGATAAAATCAATAGCCTATGCAACATTAGCACAATGGAAACAAAATTTTGAAGCAGTACATTGATTTACCACATCATAATTTCCCAGTGGTAAAATATTCAAATTTGATCCACGGAAAACTTTTAACAAATTTTAGAACAAATTGAACGTTTTCTGTTTGTATAACAAATGTAAACACTTCTTTTTACAAGTATCATCCTGCCTGCCCCCAATGGCATCGACCCAAACTCTTCACCAGCAGCTAAAGAGAACTCATCTGAATATCTCTATTCCATAATCTATTCAATCATATGAGTGTTTTTTCATTTCCTCGAGTCATTCTTTCTCTAAGGAATTGACTCAGAGATCAGCAGAAGCTAAAAGTAACTTAGACACAATTGAGAAGGCAAATTGTTTTATCAGCAACCATTTAATCCCAGAGTAAAACATGTGATTTAAATAATAGATTTATCATAATCTGATGGAAATAAAACACTAAACGCTAATTATATATACACGGTAACTAGTATCTCCTTATAGAGAAGGTTTTCAAACATAATGCAAGTGTGGAGTGTGGACTACATAAAACAAATCAAAGATACCGGCATGCTACTGCACATACCATTACAGTGAAGTAGAAAATCACAAATCACAATCATGAAATACATAAGAATAGCATGTAAATATACAGAATATTCCAAAAACAAGGTCAGTTTAATCAATGGTGAATTCCGTCGACAAAAATAACATTGGATGTAGATCAGCTTACATGCTATAGAGTGTATGATCTACAGCTCACTGTAATTGCGCCAAACTGCACGAAATTCCTCACGGAAAGTATTAAGACGAGCCTTCAGGTTAGGTGTTCTAAAACTTGCATGAAGGATGGTGGCTGAGAAAGAGAGCAAGAGAATTAGAAGAAAAAATGACATCCCATGGGGGTAAATGAGAAAAAAGTGATAAGATCACTGACCAAGCAGTGCAATGGCAAGTGCCCAGAATACAGTCAGTAGACCGCATGATACATACCAAAGGATGAAACTCACTGCAGCAAGAGTGGTAAAATTAGTTGCTTTATACACTACATTGGATTGCAAACAGAATGGTTCTGACTTCTTAAGAAAGAAAATTTCCGAAAGATATTGATACCAGATGAGAATATGAAGACAAAGACCCAACGAGGCCGACCGCATATGTGAATTGTTCTTTTAGCCACCGGACGACCACGAATAACAGGTCTGACAATAATCAAAAAGTTAATAACCAAATCAAGAATATATAGTCTGCAAAGTAATCAAAACTTACGTAAGTGGGGGCCTCATCTTAGCCGCTAAATGTGGAGAGAATTGTCTCACAGTTCTAGTCACCTTCTCACTAAAAGTACTAGCAAAGCTGTAAAAATAATAAACGAACTGTTAAAGACATGAGTCAAGTGCTAAATCTAACCATATCTCAACCTTAAATACTAGGGCTCAGCCATCCATTTCCAAGGTAACATTCAAAATAACGTCACTGAATTGAAATGCAGAACACTAAACAAAGAGGTCTAACATTGCCTACCTGTCATTCAGAAAGGCAATGCTGAGAGCTGTTAAGATAGCAGCTAAAATAGCAACTGGTCTCCTCAGGAATCCCAAACCTACATAATAAATAAATAATGCAATATATATATATATATATAATTAATATAAGTATACATGTACTAAAAATAAATTAGAGCGTCACCGATGATTGTTGTCATTATGATTTTGTCTACTTACCAAGAATGACAACAATCATAATGAAATAATTGGTCCGGTAGCTGCAAAGCGAAAGGAAAACATAAAATTAAAGCATGGAACTAAAAGAAATGAAGTATTAGATATAGTATTCGCAAAAGCACATTCATGATCAAGATTCAAGAATTATCCTCTCTCTCTTTTTATTTTGGCAACGGTTTTTCTTTATTTTTCTCTACTTGGCATACAAAGAGCACCGGTTAAGATTCAAATTCGAATAAAAGAAATTACCGAAAATTTTCGAATAAAGGAAGTAAATAACATAAAAGATTAAATGAAAAAAATACTAGTAGAGATTGCATTTAAGGCGGCTATTCCATTTGGCGTAAGATCGAGGGACGGTGAAACGAGAGAAGAATTCCGGGAGAGGACGTGGCGGAGATGACCAGTCAACTTCACGAAGCGCATCAATCAGATCCTCTACGGTTACGTTTCCCCAATCCATTGGATTTGATTATGTTCGAGCCTCTTCTCTTCACTGTACGAAACCCTAGATATTAGGGGGAAAGGAAAACTTATACGAGGAAGTGGAGCTGATGAATATGAATGGAGCTTGAATGAAGTTGGTTTTTACGGGAAGCTTACAGATTGTTTGGAAGTGTTTGTTTTTGCTTTGAACATTAAAAGTAAAACAAATGGGGGTTTCAAAATTAAAATTGTTTCAGAGCTATGGAATTGAGTTTCGTTTCAGAGATGAATGCAAAAGCCAAAGGTAAATAAAAATTCATGTCTAGGCCCGGGCTCGAACCGGGGACCACTAGTGTGTGAGACTAGCGTGATTACCAACTACACCACCCAGACATCTCACTTGGCTGGTTTGCACGTCTGAATCTAAATTTATTTAATATATTATTTTTTTTATTCAGTACGGAGCAAGCATTACTGCTTGCTCCTAAAACTCTGGTTTAATGGAGTCCATTATTTTACATTAAAAAAAACAAATTAAGATGTTTTTATATGAATATGTTTTATTTTATTTAACGATACAAACAAAACAGTATAAAACATTGGTAATGAAATGGGTTTATATAATAATTTGATTTCTATAGTATTGAATGATAGTTAAGTAAAATTTCAAATAAAATAGACTGTTAATTGAATTGAATGATAATTAAGTAAAATTTTAAATAAAAATATAGTGTTAATTGAATTAATTGTTAATTTTTTTAATGAATTAAGCGATCTCAGTGTTTAAGGGACTTATTGTTATCTTTTGAGGTAATGGATTCGAACACCATGTATGCAAACACGAATATTTATTATCAAATGGTTGAGAGAGCTTTTGAAGAGATACTACCTTGTATCATTCTCATATTTATCAAAGAAAATGGTATAATCTTTTAAAATTCAATTATAAAATTTTTAATAAAAATAAATTAAGTTTTTTTCTAAAAATACTATTTATTTAAATATAATTTTTAAATGATAATTTAAATAAAATATTTTTCCCTCGTGAACATGTTTAATTATAATATAGTCAAATAAAGGTAGATTTATTATACAGCTCTCACGTAGAAACAAAGAACAAGATTTAGATGTATGGGAAAGGAAATAATTTTATATAGAAACAACATTACTTTCAAATTTTGTAAGGAATATATATTCTGCAAGCATAATGGTTGAAATTTAAATTTTTTAAAGAGAATAATAAATATAATTGCTAAGATGCAAAACCCTAGCAGTGGAAAAAACTCTAGCGAGGGTTTAAACCCTACGTTGAATATTTACGGCAACACCGGTGGCCGCCCGCCAGAACCAGTAGCACATGTCGAGGCCCCGTTAATTCTGGAACGACCGGGATCCCCATTGGCAGTAGAAGACCAGTAAGTTGCGAAGAAGGGGAAAAGCATGGAGAACACGGATGAACAGCAGACTATGGTGGTGGATACAACCACCATGGAAGGAATAGAAACTAATGACGGTGTCCAAGATATGAATGGAGGTTATAAGGGCAGGAACGTAACCAATTAGGGGAACAGAAGGTGTCTTATGCATCGATTACTGCAAACCATTCTGCGACGGAAACTAAGAGAAACTTTGGTGAAGGATTTGACTCGGACAACATAATTGTTTCGGATGAGGATTGCATGGTTGATGATTCGGGTTTGTTTCTGAAAATTTCCTTCTCCGAAAAAGTCCATGAACAGATTGACATCAGCATGAGTAACACAATTATTGTCCGTCTTCTTGGTCGAACTATAGGATTCAACACATTATTGTCCCGTATCCATGCTTTATGGAAACCGATTGGAGAGATTCAATTAGTTGATCTGGACATTAACTACTTTCTAGTTAGATTTGAGGATGAAAGAGACTTCGCTAATGTTCTTACGGAAGGCCCTTGGACGATTTCTGGAAACTACTTAACGGTGTAGCCTTGAAGTAGAGCCTTTTCCATGTCCAAAAAGCATCCATCGAAGGTTATAGTCTGGGTCAGACTTCTAGGTCTCCCCAATCGGTATTATTGTAAGCCTAAGGCTCTTTTCCGATGTATTACTTCGGTTTTGAGGAATGTAATCAAGATTGATTACAACACTCAAGTTAACGAACGTGGAAATTTTGCTCGTATGGCAATAATGGTTGATTTAAACAAGTCGTTACGATCGTGTATCGGAATAGATGATTTTGTACAAAAAATAGAATATGAGGGTCTTAATCAGATATGTTTTGGTTGCGGAATCTATGAACATTCAAAGGAGACTTGCAGTAAAGCAGATAATCATGCTAGGGAGTCAAACACTCTGGCAACCCCGCATGTGGCTACCCAAACTGTCGCTAATAAGGAGGGCGAATTTTATGTCCCATGGATGATTTTTCCGAGTCGACGACGAAAAATTACCGTTAGCAAAGGAAGTAATAATGATGGACCTCAGGTTGTATAAAACTCAGGCTCTAGGTTTGCTGCTTTCGATGCTAATGAAAAAAATATGGAAATAGTTATCCCAAACCAGCAACCACTGCCCTCTAAGCCAAGGAAAGATAATCCCCGTGGGAACTATTTGGCCAAGGAGATTTCTAAAAGTGGAATCAATAATCAGCCGTCGATAGTAACTAAGAATGCAGCCTAATTGGCTTCGAATCCAGAGAAGAAAACAAGGAAGCAGGGAGCTCCTCTAGTAGGAAGAAAGCAATAGAAGTTGTTCCTTTAGACGCTGAGAAAAATGCGGAAGTGATCACCCAGGTTTCGGATTGACTGCTCCGAGATCAAAGAAGACTGACAAAGTGCATGGGAATAAAAAAGTGAATTAGGAGATTAATAAGAAGGGTGTCCAAATTTGAAAGGCTTCGGACACTATAATACTATCCCGTACGGCCCCTGCTGAATGGATTCAGCAGTTATCCAAATATCTTAATGATATTGACAACTCTTTGGCTTCCCAGCATCCGCCACCTACGGGTGCAGGAAGCTCTACAAGCGGTGAGGAATGCAAGATGATTATTGATGGAGATGGTCGAGTGAATCCTGATGTGAGTAATGGGAAGTAAGTCCCTGTTTCTCTCTTTGCTTTATGCTCTTATGACGTTTCTTTTTTGGAATTGTCAAGGTGCTTTGAGCCTAAATTTTTGAAGGATTTTGAAAGTTATTGTTAAGGATAATCGGTTGGATGTGGTGTCTTTTTTTGAGCCTCAGATTTCTGGTTCTGTCGCGGGTAAAATCATTTCTAAGTTTGGCTTCAAAAGCTTGTTTAAAGTGGAAGTACATGGCTTTAGTGGTGACTTATGGCTTTTATGGAAGAGGTCGACTCGTGTGGATATCCTGTAAGTTTTGAACCAGTTCATTAATGGGCAGATGTACATTGCGGCGTGTTCCAAGTGGATTCATTTTACGGCCATTTATGCTAGTCCCCAACTATCCAAAAGGAACATGTTATGGGATCAATTAGCTAATCTGGACCCGAGTGTGAATGTGCCTTGGATACTCGGAGGTGATCTCAATATTATTTTGTGTCCTAGTGAGAGATCGGATGGTTCTTCTAAGTCCCAGAGTGGTAGTCGTGGATTTGCTGATTTCTTGCACGATGTTGGTTTGAGTGCCTTAGGTTTTGTCAGCCCGCATTTTACTTGGTCGAGGGGCAGATTACATAAACGACTTGATCGGTGTGTTGCTAATTCGGCTTGATTATCCCATTTTCCTGATTCCAAAGTGTTTCATCTTGAACAATTGGGCTCAGATCATAGACCACTCCTCTTAAAGATGGTGGATCAGAAGTCGAGAAATAACTCCAGACCATTTCGTTTTATTGCAGATCACCCCACTTTCCAAGACCTCCTTAAGTCCACATGGGCTCAGGATGAAACGGTAGAAGTGAACATAAAGGCTTTTCATTCAGCGACCAAGACGTAGAATGTTGAAGCTTTTGGGCATATTGGTAAAAGGAAGAAACGTTTGCTTGCTCGTCTAAGTGGAATTGAAAAGGCTCTTCAACGAAGGCATAAAGTTACTTATTCACTTAAAAATTGAATTGCAAGATGAATACCTTACGGTGCTTGAGCAGAAAGAGAGTTTTTGGCAGCAAAAAGCTTGTTTTCAGTGGGTTTTGCATGGTGATAGAAATACAAAGTATAATCATGCAATTACTATGGCTCGTCGCAGAACCAATTGAATCAACGCTTTAAAGCGAGCCGATGGTAGTTGGTGTACTGATCCTAAGGAATTGGTTGGTATGGAACGTGATTATTTTTGTAATCTCTTTACATCATCGGGGTCACATAGATCAAACTTTGTTTGGCGGGGTGGTTTCAAAATTTTGTCTCAAGGTGACTATGATTCGATGACTGCTTCGGTTACAATGGAGGAAGTAAAGAATGCAATCTTTGACATGGGAAGTTTTAAAGCATCGGGTGTTGATGGTCTGCAAGTTGGTTTTTATCAGAAAAATTGGCATAGTGTAAGCACTTCTGTCTTTAATTACATTTCCAGGTTTTCGTCGATGGAGTTATCCCATTAGAACTCAATCGTACTTTTCTTGTTTTACTGTCGAAGGTCACTGATTCGGAATGGGTCAATCAATTTAGACCCATCGGTCTCTGCAATGTCTTGTACAAGACAATTACAAAATTATTGTGAATTGGTTAAAACCATTCTTACCAGAGTGGATCTCTGAAAACCAAATGAGTTTTGTTCCAGGAAGAGCGATAACTGGTAACATTATCGTCACCCAGGAAATTATTCATTTTATGCAAAAGAAATCTGGTAGGAAATGGTGGGTGGCAATTTAAATTGACTTGGAGAAAGCCTATGATCGCCTTGAATGGAGTTTCATAGAAGATACTTTGATTGATTTAGGAACTCCTATTCAACTCCGTACTTTGATCATGCAATGTGTCTCTTCGTCTCGACTCAGATTTTGTGGAATGGCGATCAGTCGGATATATTTAATCCTTCATGTGGTATCTGACAGGGCGATCCTCTGTCGTCTTATTTATTTGTTCCCTGCATGGAGCGTCTCGCTCAAGTTATTACTGCTGCCACTAACGCTGGTAAATGGAAACCATTTCGCACCTTTAAACAGGGACCTGGTATCTCACAATTCTGTGATGTATCTGGACATAAGGCGAGTCTCTCGAAGACAACTATGTACTTCTCAAAAAACGTCTCAATTGCGATACAAAAGCGACTTAGTGAGAAATTGGGATTTACGATGGTCAA